TGCCCTTGCTGTGGAGTGAGTTGCCATAGGCAACCAGGTGTGTGAGCAGGTAGCAGAGTGACAAGCCACTCCACCCAGTTACTCCAGCCACTCCAGTTACAGACTACTGGTGGAGGCAAGAACACTTCACACAATTTCCCCAGAAATTGTAGCTTTTCTAGTTTCAATTATAATGACTCATTTACAATAGATGCATAGATTTATGTAGTTAGTTTGGATTGATATGTTTGTTCAAAGATTAATTTGTGTTAGGTCTTCATGCCTCATGTTTTTGTCTTGAGTACTGTATTATATACAATTTCATCAATGAAACATTTCATGGAAAAAATGTTGGCTGTGACATTGACATTTCTACAAAATCCACTTCAAGACAGCAATACGTATATATACTTTGCGGTTTTGAAGTGAAATGCAGGGATTATGGCTGCAGCTAGATGCCATAACCCCAGTATAAAAATTTACAGCAGCCACAGCTGTTTCTAAATGATCCGAGCTGCTGATTAGCCATTGGATCACTTTTAGAAGCTGCAGAAGGGGTTTCTGGGGGAACCACTTTCCGGTAATTCCTGGGCTTACCTGCCTGATTGGAGAGTCCAGGAACTGATCCATCAATTGTGGCAGCTGGGCATATAGATTAGCAGAGGAAATATTGCCTCAGCTCATTTTTATGACCTAGGAGGATCAACATCACTTCCTATTCTGGCCAAATGTAAACAAGATAATTTTTGGGTGGTAAAACATTTTTTTCTGATTTAATGTTTTCCATTGTAGAGGAAAGATGTGGGGTCTTATAGACCCCAGATTTCTCCAAAAAGAGGACCTGTCTGATTTATTGTTTTCTCAACAGATGATTACATTTAACAATATTAATTAATTATATTACAATGAAGAATTTAGCAATAAAAGTGAAAAAAAAATAAAAGGAAAAGTGTGAAATAAATTTAAATGCCTCCATCCTCCCGTACTTGCACTCAGTGGCAAATGCATACATAGGTCACACCCACGTATGTAAACGGTGTTTGCACCACACATGTGAGGTATCACCACAAACATGAGAGCGAGAGAAATAATTCTAACACTAGACCTCCTCTACAACTGGAGATTTTTAAGTACTGTAGTTTGGCGCCATTCCACAAGCATGCACAATTTTCAAGCATGACGTGTTAGACATCTCTTTACTCAGCATAACATCATCTTTCAAATTTTAAAAAAAAAAATGGGTTATATATTGTGAGTTTTTTTAATCACTAAAGTGTATTTTTTTTTAAATTGCAAAAACTGCTGCACAAATATCATGAGACATAAAAAAATTGCCATTTTATTCTCTAGGGTCTCTGCTAATATAAATATATATATATATATATACACACACACACACAGGTGAAACTCGAAAAATTAGAATATCGTGCAAAAGTTCAATTATTTCAGTAATGCAACTTAAAAGGCGAAACTATTATATGAGATAGACTCATTACATGCAAAGCAAGATAGTCCAAGTCGTGATTTGTCATAATTAGAGATGAGCGAATTATTCAAAAATTTGATTCGGCTGATTCGCCGAATTTGCGGGAGAAATTTGATTCGATGCGAATTTATTCGCTGCGAATTTAACTAATTAAAAGGGTTTCTAGGCTTCAGAGAGCCTTTATATTAGTGCAGAACACTGTACCTTTAATTTAAATGCCCTTGGAGTCTGCTGGGGAAGAGAAATAATACTGTCAGTCAGTATGACATGTAGATGAGTGCCGTCGATCTTAGAATCACCGCACACTTCACTCATTTGGGCAGTCACGGGGCACGACGACGAAGAAAGAAGAAGAAGAAGAAGAAGGAAGAAGAGGAAAAAGAATGAAAAGAAGAAGAAGAATGAAAAGAAGAAGAAAAGAAGAATGAAAAGAAGAATGAAAAGAAGAAGAAGAAGAATGAAAAAAGAAGAAGAAGAAGAATGAAAAGAAAAGAATGAAAAAGAAGAAGAAGAAGAATGAAAAGAAGAAGAAGAAGAATGAAAAGAAGAATGAAAAGAAGAAGAAGAAGAATGAAAAGAAGAAGAAGAAGAATGAAAAGAAGAATGAAAAGAAGAAGAAGAAGAATGAAAAGAAGAAGAAGAAGAAGAATGAAAAGAAGAATGAAAAGAAGAAGAAGAAGAAGAAGAATGAAAAGAAGAATGAAAAGAAGAATGAGAAGAATGAAAAATGAAGAAGAATGAAAAGAAGAATGAAAAGAAGAAGAAGAATGAAGAAGAAAAGAAGAATGAAAAGAAGAATGAAAAGAAGAATGAGAAGAATGAAAAGAAGAATGAAAAGAAGAAGAAGAATGAAAAGAAGAAGAAGAATGAGAAGAAGAATGATGAAAAGAAGAATGAGAAGAAGAATGAGAAGAATGAAAAGAAGAATGAGAAGAATGAAAAGAAGAATGAAAAGAAGATGAAGAAGAATGAAAAGAAGAAGAAGAATGAAAAGAAGAAGAAGAAGAAGAATGAAAAGAAGAATGAAAAGAAGTAGAAGAATGAAAAGAAGAATGAAAAGAAGAAGAAGAATGCAAAAAAGAAGAAGAAGAAGAATGAAAAGAAGAATGAAAAGAAGAATGAACTATATTACTATATCAGTCTCTAATGGATGCTGGAGAGTTAAAGTTCCCACCCCCTAACACCTGCTGTGCCCATTATGAGGGGTTCCCACCATCCCTGTGCTGAGGTTCTGGGTATGCACACCTGCTGTGCCCATTATGAGGGGTTCCCACCATCCCTGTGCTGAGGTTCCAGGTCTGCACACCTGCTGCGCCCATTATGAGAAGTTCCCACCATCCCTGTGCTGAGTTCCTGGGTCTGTACACCTGCTCTGCCCATTAGGAGGAGTTCCCACCATCCCTGTGCTAAATTCCTGGTCTGTACACCTGCTGTTCCCATTATGAGGGGTTTCTACCATCCCTGTGCTGAGGTCCCAGGTCTGCACACCTGCTGCGCCCATTACTAGGGGTTTCCCACCATCCCTGTGCTGAGGTTCTGGGTATGCACACCTGCTGTGCCCATTATTAGGGGTTCCCACTGTCCCTGTGTTGAATTCCTGGGTCTGTATGTACACCTGCTGTGTCCATTGTGAGGGATTCCCACCATTCCTGCACTGAGTACCTGAGTCTGTACACCTGCCAAAAGAAAGTTTCAGGATTTTGAAGGAGCAAAATACAGTAATACTGGAACAAAAAATGAGCTGCGTGGTGGAGTTGCCAGAAGAAGAAGAAGAATGAAAAGAAGAATGAAAAGAAGAATGAAAAGAAGAAGAAGAAGAAGAATGAAAAGAAGAAGAAGAAGAATGAAAAGAAGAAGAAGAAGAATGAAAAGAAGAAGAAGAAGAAGAAGAAGAAGAAGAATGAAAAGAAGAATGAAAAGAAGAAGAATGAAAAGAAGAAGAAGAAGAAGAATGAAAAGAAGAAGAAGAAGAAGAAGAATGAAAAGAAGAAGAAGAAGAAAGAAAAGAAGAATGAAAAGAAGAAGAATGAAAAGAAGAATGAAAAGAAGAATGAGAAGAATGAAAAGAAGAAGAAGAAGAATGAAAAGAAGAAGAATGAAAAGAAGAAGAAGAAGAATGAAAAGAAGAATGAGAAGAATGAAAAGAAGAAGAATGAAAAGAAGAATGAAAAGAAGAAGAAGAATGAAAAGAAGAAGAAGAAGAAGAAGAATGAAAAGAAGAAGAAGAATGAAAAGAAGAATGAAAAGAAGAATGAGAAGAATGAAAAGAAGAATGAAAAGAAGAATGAGAAGAATGAAAAGAAGAATGAAAAGAAGAAGAAGAATGAAAAGAAGAATGAGAAGAAGAATGAGAAGAATGAAAAGAAGAATGAGAAGAATGAAAAGAAGAATGAAAAGAAGAAGAAGAAGAATGAAAAGAAGAAGAAGAAGAATGAAAAGAAGAAGGAGAAGAATGAAAAGAAGAATGAGAAGAATGAAAAGAAGAATGAAAAGAAGAATGAAAAGAAGAAGAAGAAGAATGAAAAGAAGAATGAAAAGAAGAAGAAGAAGAAGAATGAAAAGAAGAATGAAAAAGAAGAAGAAGAATGAAAAGAAGAAGAAGAAGAATGAAAAGAAGAATGAAAAGAAGAAGAAGAAGAATGAAAAGAAGAAGAAGAAGAATGAAAAGAAGAATGAGAAGAATGAAAAGAAGAAGAAGAAGAATGAAAAGAAGAAGAAGAAGAATGAAAAGAAGAATGAAAAGAAGAAGAAGAAGAATGAAAAGAAGAATGAAAAGAAGAAGAAGAAGAATGAAAAGAAGAATGAAAAGAAGAAGAAGAATGAAAAGAAGCAGAAGAAGAATGAAAAGAAGAATGAAAAGAAGAAGAAGAAGAATGAAAAGAAGAAGAAGAAGAATGAAAAGAAGAAGAAGAAGAATGAAAAGAAGAATGAGAAGAATGAAAAGAAGAAGAAGAAGAATGAAAAGAAGAATGAAAAGAAGTAGAATGATAAGAAGAATGAAAAGAAGAATGAAAAGAAGAAGAAGAAGAATGAAAAGAAGAAGAAGAAGAATGAAAAGAAGAATGAGAAGAATGAAAAGAAGAATGAAAAGAAGAAGAATGAAAAGAAGAAGAAGAAGAATGAAAAGAAGAATGAGAAGAAGAATGAAAAGAAGAATGAGAAGAATGAAAAGAAGAAGTATTCTAGTACAGCAAAAAGTGTATCTGCAGAGAGCTCCGCTATTTCTGACAGTTCTCTGACAGAAATCTTTTTTCCGGGCAGAGGCACAGCGGGCAGAGGCACATCGGGCAGAGGCACATCGGGCTGGACTCCGGGCAGAGGCACATCGGGCTGGACTCCGGGCAGAGGCACATCGGGCTGGACTCCGGGCAGAGGCACATCGGGCTGGACTCCGGGCAGAGGCACATCGGGCTGGACTCCGGGCAGAGGCACATTGGGCTGGACTCCGGGCAGAGGCACATCGGATTACCAGGCGAAGCAGCAGGCAGCGGGCCACCGGGCGGAGCAGCAGGCACCGACCCCCAGGCGGAGCGACAGGTCTCGGGCCCCCAGGCGGAGCGGCGGGCGCTGGACCCCCAGGCGGAGCGACAGGTCTCGGGCCCCCAGGCGGAGCGGCGGGTGCCGGACCCCCAGGCGGAGCGACAGGTCTCAGGCCCCCAGGCGGAGCGGCGGGCGCCGGACCCCCAGGCAGAGCGACAGGTCTCGGGCCCCCAGGCAGAGCGGCGGGCGCCGGACCCCCAGGCAGAGCGACAGGTCTCGGTCCCCCAGGCGGAGCGGCGGGCGCCGGACCCCCAGGCGGAGCGACAGGTCTCAGTCCCCCAGGCGGAGCGACAGGTCTCAGGCCCCCAGGCGGAGCGACAGGTCTCAGGGCCCCAGGCGGAGCGGCGGGCGCCGGACCCCCAGGCGGAGCGACAGGTCTCGGGCCCCGAGGCGGAGTGGCGGGCACCGAGTCACCAGGCACGACAGTGGGCTCCGAGTCAACTGGCATGACCGCTGGGTCAGACATTGGATCGTCTGGCTGGACAGCGGGCATTGGGTCACCAGGCATCAGGTCATTTGGCTCGACAGCGGGCACCGCGTCATCTGGCAAGGCAGTGGGCTCCGAATCAACTGGTATGACCCGCGGGCACTGGGTCAGACATTGTAGAAGAAGGAGAAGATCAGAGAAAGCAGAATCAAACATCCTTTTTAAACAATGCAGAGGATTCACCCCTTAGGTTCCACTGAGCGTATAACAAGCATGCTTTACTTCATGTACAGACTGTTACTGTTGTTGGTTTAGTAACAATTTAGCTAAGATAAGTAAAACTTAATTTTTAAAGTGAACATACTCTAATACTTTGGTAAATCAACCCCAATGAGTGCACTAGCAGTAAAGGGTTTGACCATGTTTGTTACAGATAGTAGTAATAAAATAAAGATCTGTGTGATGCCTTTTACATGACTAACCAAATACATTTGGATGTGCAAGCTTTTGGAAACATTTAGGACTTTGTGCATAAAATATTTACCAACCTGAAATTATCTCACTATATTGGAAACCTTACATCAAGATCTCAAAAATTGGAATAACCTTAATGTATCGTGGTTTGGGAGATCAGCTTTATTTAAAATGAATATACTCCTGAGGCCGCTCTACGTCATGCAGACAGTAGCAATACAACTCCCCTCATACTTTTTTCACTATACAAATGACAGTGCTCCACTTTTATCTAGAAAGGGTTATCTCCAAGAATCAAATACACTGTCCTTACATTACCTAAACATAAGAGGGGCATTGGCCTACCAGATTCCAAAAAGTATTACTGGGCTTGTAAGCTTACCAAATAATAGACTGAAACATCCATGACAAAAGAAAAGACAAAAAAAGGGTTTCCATAAAAATAATTCTTTTTGCAATTGACTTTGAAATAAATTCCATGACTCTTGTTCCAACAGCTCCCCAAATCAGCTCTAGCACACCCATTCATAACCTCTTTATCTGTAGCCTAGGAGCAGAATTGTGAGCTACACAAAGACAACAGCTTAGTCATAGTGGCACTTGACTCTTTGACCCTGCTGAGACCACTGTATGGAGTGTTGAATCAATACATTGCAGGACCATAGATATTTTTTTCCTGGGAGGATTCAGATTTGAACAACCAGAAAGAAATTAATGTATGTAGTGCACTGCAGTGAATTGTGGGTGTGCCAAAATCGACAAACTATACACCACAGTCCTTGTAACCAAACATATTCTTTAATTATTGTGCCAGCAGTAGGAGTACAACAGACTCATATAAACCTCAGCACAATCATCTGCACAAAAAAACTCTTCCATTATATACTGTCCCTAGAATTATTATTATTATACAGTATTTATATAGCACCAAAGGGTGTGCTCAGCGCTGTACAGTAGCAGGGGGACATAACATGAGACAAGACATTAACAATACACTACACGAGGGGTTCGAGGGCCCTGCTCTTTCAAGCTTACAATCTAGGAGGGAGGGGAAGGTGGCACAGGAGGAGATGGCTGTGGGGGATGGAGTGGTGTGTGGAGTGGAGGAGGTTAATTGTTAGGTGAGGTCGGGTGTTAGGTGAGGTTGGGGTAGGCTTCCCTAAAGAGGAGGGTTTTCAGGGTGCGCCTGAAGGTGAGGAGGGTAGGTGACAGTCTGATGGATTGGGGTAGGGAGTTCCAAAGGATGGGGAAAGTCCTAGAGAAGTCCTGCAATCGGGCATGGGAGGAGGAGACCAGGGAGCTAGAGAGCAGGAGGTCCTGTGAGGAGCGGAGGGCATGGGTAGGGTAGTATCTGGGTATCAGGTCAGTTATGTAGTTCGGGGCGGCATTGTGAGTGGCCTTGTAGGTTAGGGTTAGCAGCTTGAACTTGATGCGTTGGGCAATCGGGAGCCAATGAAGGGATTGGCAGAGGGGGGAGGCAGATGTGGAGCACTTGGTGAGGTGGATGAGTCTGGCTGTGTCTAAGACACTCTTTAGAATTCTAAATATACCTTCATACAACATGTGGCGGTTGTTGTTGTACACAGCTACATGAATATGTGGCAGACAGCAAGCATGGAGATGCATTGAGAGCAGAATGCCCACATGGACACTCTAACTTCAGTACTGGGGTGCACCCTCTGCACCACTGAAGCTGTCACATAGACAGTGCAGCAACAGGGAGTTTTGTTCCTGGGGGTGGAGCACAATGGGGATATACAGACACTAGTTCCCCATCAGGTCCGCTTTCCTTGTGATTGATAACAGACAGTGGGTGGATCCTTAGCGAATAGACAGTCAGATATTGGCTAAAGAACTAAGCCATTTCCTGCTGTCAATTACAAGCTGAAAGTAGACCTGATGGGGAACTAGCGTTTCAGCGTCCATGTCAGGAGGCTGTTGGCTGTGAAACCAACAGTGTCCTTAAACACAAGTGTGTAACAAGTGAAGTGCAGAGGTCAGACTTGGAGAATGCACAGATAACAGGTGCCAGTAGTGCATAACACACAAACTGCAGGGGTCAGAAGTGCTTAGTGAACACAGCACATGAGTCAGCAGTGCATAACACACAGAACAGAGGGGTCAGGAGTGTGTAATGTACAGATCACAGGGGTCAGGAGTGTGTAATGTACAGATCACAGGGGTCAGGAGAGTGTAATGAAAGGACAATACAGATCTCCCTCACAGTACAGATTCCCCCCAAGTACAGATCTCTCTCCCAGTACAACTCCCCCCAGTACAGTTCCCTTCCATTAAACCACCCACTCTCTAGATCAGGAAATCCAGAATAATGAGAAGTCCTTTCTCAGCTGTGTCATTTGAGTTGAAGGGGAACTAAGGAAAACTGTACTGAACTGCAGCTACCGGTCTCTGAAGTCTGAAAGGTAGCAGGAGTGCAGCGGCAGTGGTTTGGATATACAATGACTGTCAGCACTAGCTGCCACATTGCAGATGCTTTGAGGGTTTTGGGCCCCTTGTCCTCCTTCTTATCTAAATGCTTCATTATATTCCGATTGTTTCTTCCCACTTTGTGTCTTAAAGTTCCTCATTAGAACAGTAAGCCCCAGATGCTGTTGTCAGATCTGCAGAAATAGTGTGCCTTTGGAAGACCAATCTTCTTGGTATTAGTGGTAAAATGGTGAGAAGTAATATGCAGATGTAGTGTTTGCCTTAAATCACCAACATTAGGACCATAGTGGGATGTTGCATGCATATAATCAGGTACACAACATTAAAGGGCCTGCAGAAAAATGTTCCCTTAACGCTGTACATCGGCTGGGATTTTAGTACTTGCACACTGTTGGAACAGAACTCCAGCAGTAAACATAATGAAAAATGTTCCCTCACTAGCTGAGCTAGAAATCTTTTAAAGTGGTAATTGAAAGTATTGAAACTGTTATATTAAAAAAATAAATAAATTGAATGGCATTCTGGGAGAAAATGTCACAACTATGGCATACAATGTATGCAAAAATATGTACTATTACCATACAACTTGTAGTTTCAACAAAAATGAAAAGTGTTAGATTTAGAGCTAAATATTATGTATTATTTATAAATACACAGAATCAAAGAGTTATTCTAATTACTGTAGCAATAATTCATAAAAGCTTTTACTAATAATTCTTAATACATATTTTCCCTGTAACAATGTACTGTAACTGTCATATCACAAATTCTTTCAGACAAACTGAAAGATAATAAACGTTCAGGTAGCTTACTGTAAAATCTCTTTTATGCTTCTTTCATATTTATGAGATACTACCTTAACCATAAATCTAGAGCAAAGCTTGTATAAATTAAATATATACATATACCTGTATTTTTTTTATATTCTTTATAAGGACAGAACTTTATTTCTGTATTTCATCTTTGATAAGACGGGTTCATAAAAAAAGACTAACCTACAGAAAAATGAAGTACAAAAGAGCAATGAGATAGATTTACAGAAACATACTAGACAGTAGAATCAAAATGTCTAATGCTACATAATAAAGGTAAAATATATAAATACAAATAAAACCTCATAATCACACCAAAAAAAAACAACAACAAAAAAATCCACAAGAATATCCTGAAGTTTATTTTGGTTGTAGAAGAGGTTTGATGGTTATTTTAACACAAATGTAACTCTTAATGACTTCCTCAGTGCTCCTTGTTACAGTATAAACCTGCAAGTTGTACCATTATACTTGAAATAATTTTGCCTGCAATTGGGATATCTTTGCAGGTTGTCAGGTACCCATTTAGATCAAATAAAGAGAGAGCAAAATATAAAATTATCAATTTATTTCCTCATCATTGGGTTTTATATTGAATTAAAAAAACACTCATTGTCATAGTGGTTCTAAAGACAGGAGGTTTTTTACCTTAATGCATTCTATACATTGAGGTAAAACAAAAAACTCTGCATACAGCTCCCGCCTCCCCTCCCCCTTTATACTCACCACTCAAACTCGATCCAGCAATGTGCACGAGAGCAACAGCTCTCTCAACGCTCTCTCTCCCTCCCACTGCTGTCAATCACAGCCAGTGGTAAGGAAGTGGGGGTGGAGCCAAGTCGAGTTCTGTGTGTCTATGGACATGCAGAGCTGGCTTGGGAGCAAGCATGCACAAGTGCCCCCATAGCAAACGGCTTGCTATGTGAGCACTCGGCAGGGGAGAGGATCCAGGAATGCCACATGAACACTTCACATGAAGTGCTTTATATATATATATATATATATATATATATATATATATATATATATATATGACAAATCTACAGAGTGAACAACTGGCAAATGCATTCAATGTATATAAGGTGGTTGTACTTACAGTGGGGATCGAAAGTTTGGGCACCCCAGCTAAAAATTTGTATTAATGTGCATAAAGAAGCCAAGGAAAGATGGAAAAATCTCCAAAAGGCATCCAGTTACAGATTAGACATTCTTATAATATGTCAACAAAAGTTAGATTTTATTTCCATCATTTACACTTTCAAAATAACAGAAAACAAAAAAATGGCGTCTGCAAAAGTTTGGGCACCCTGCAGAATGTATAGCATGCACTGCCCCCTTTGCCAAGCTGAGACCTGCCAGTGTCAT